ATTTTTGGTTACGGGCCAATGTTTTAACGAGGCAATGTATGCTGATTGGAAAGATTGTGCGTTGTACTTTTTTTTTTAAACGAGGTTATTTGTTCCACTGAATGTTATTGCTCGGAAGGCTTCAATGAAGCAACATGAAATGCGCAAGAGTGATAACATAATAGAAGACAGTAAATTAACTATCTGACACAGTAATTTTACTGTATTAATTAATTTTATCGTCTTGGCCTGCAATTTTGCTGTCTTCGACCGTAATATTACTGTCTCCGACGGTAATATTACTGTCGCATGCAATAATATTACGGTTTGGGACAGTAATATTAGTAATATTATTGTTCGCGAAAGTAATATTCATAATATTACTGTTCGGGACAGTAATATTAGTATTCGGGACATAAATACTACAGTTTGGGACAGTAATATTAGTAATATTACTGTTTTGGTATTCAATATTACTATCTCACACAATAATTTTGTTGTTAACATAGTAATATAGAGAGAGAGAGAAAAAAAATTCAACGCCAGAGAACCGCGTGGTCAACGCCAGAATCTGGCCGGAAAAAAAAATTATTTCTTGAGAAAAAAAATAAAACAAAATAATGAAAAATGTGATATATTTGGTCAAATCCGGGGCCAATGTGCAATATTTATGAAGTTAGAGTATAATGGATGAAAATTATATTATGGATGATATTTTTGACAAAAGATATGGGGATGGATTTTTGCAAGACCGTTTTTTCGTCTGGACCTATGTACATTTAAAAGTCCCTTGTCATGGGCCTATTTAGTACTCCATCCGTTCCTAAATAATAGTCGTTTTTCATATTTGCACAAATCTTAAGAAACTCAATTAATATGTCTTGATTTTAGGAAAATGTATATTGTTAGACCAAAATACCTTATTTATTAATTAATGTAGAGAAATTGTTGTAGAGTTAATAAGGGCATAATTGAAAAATATGTAATTAAAGTAGTGTTGGAATTCTAAAGTGATAGATAATATGGAACAAAAAAATTCTTAAAAGTAACAGACATAGTGAAACGGAGGGAGCATTTATCCACAATAAATTTATATATAATGGAATCATTAAAATGGGATCGTAAATGTTGAGTTATCACAAAGTATACACTAAGTTAGTCATAAGACTAATTAAAGAGTTTGCCTCAGGAAGGAGAGCTGCTCGAACTGCCCGTTGGACGGGGAATTTCCAAAATGCCTGAATTGGTGTTGGAGCTATGGGTGGTGGGGGTGGGTGTAACACCCCGTAATTTATGCTTATGTCATATATACACACAAGAGTTTATTGTACTTTATAATGACAATTGGGGACTGATTTGTTATTAATAGATAAAGTTGGGGGATAAGTATAATAAGAACTTTATAAACTTGGCAATCAAGTTTAAGAATTGGGTATGGTTAAACGAATCGGCTTCTTTGTCATCTTTATCTGATGAGTTTCTCATCTCTTCATTTCTTTATATACTCAAATAGTTCCTCACTCTTTCATCATCTCTCTGTCTCTCTCCTCTCTCTCTATCGATTCTTGACTGGAATCACAAAAATTGTTGGAAAAATCCAGTTCTATGAGAGGGTTTTGAGTATTTAAGTTTAGGTTGAAGAATTGAGAGATTAAAGAAGAAAGCCCAAATTGATTCTTCAAAGACAGGGCTGCAAGAAGGTTTTATCAATGGAGTCTTGACGATCCGAAAGTAATGTTGGGAAACTTGATAAGCCAGCTTCCCGATGGTGGTGTATCTCATGGACTAGCTTTTAACATAAAGATTTCGACTAATTGATTTCAAACTCCAAAAGTGAGTTGTAATTCCATAAAAGAAAGAAAGCTCATAAATAAAGTCTTACAAAAGATCAAATGGCAGCTGCTAAAGGATCTCTACTGCTACCTACCCTAACTACACTAGCTAGTCCAAACTTGGAGAGTATTTCCTCCACTTTCCATTTATATAGCTAGGGTTTACCATAATTGTAGGGTTTCATGACAGCCATGCAACCCAGCTCACGTGCTACTCACGAGCCGCGCCTTATGAAAATAAACGTTAACCACTAACACGTTTTTATAAGTAAAACGCAACTCTCTTAAAACGACGTAGTATTGAATTTAAAAAAAGATCCACCTTCCCTCCTTAATCAGCCAATCACCACACTCCTTCCCCCTTACTTCAGCCATGTCTCATAGCTGAAAGTGTGGATATTTCTTCAACATTTCCTCCCCATCCTCCCATGTGGCCTCTTCAGCTGGCAAGTGTGCCCACTGCACTAACCATTGCCCCACAGTTGCATTCTTTCTCTTTACCAACTTGTGCTCCAACACCCTCTCAGGTACAAGCATAATCTGATTTTTCTCATCTAGTGGAGATAATTCCTCTACCACTCTTTCAGACTTACCTACCTTCTTCTTCAATTGTGAAACATGGAAGATAGGGTGAATTTTGGTGTTCTCAGGTAGTTTCAATTCATAAGCATCCTCCCCAATTCTCCTTAGGATAAGAAATGGCCCACAATACTTGGGAGTTAGCTTCCACACCCTACTCTTCCTCAGACTGAGCTGCTTGTAGGGTTTCAGTTTGAGGTAAGCCCACTCCCCTTCGTCAAAAGTTCTCTCACTCCTGTGGGGATCAGCAAATCTTTTCATCCTCTCTTGAGCCTGTCTCAGCAATTCCTTCAATTTCTGTGTAATGGCTTGGTGTTCCTTAGCCCAAGTCTCCACTCCCACTTTTTGAGGCATTAGATGAGGGCCATACCCCATCTGATGGGGAGCATACCCATAGAGAGCTTCAAAAGGGGCTCTCTGAATGGTGGAATGGTAAGTGGTATTGTACCACCATTCAGCTAAGGAAATCCAGCTGCTCCAATCCTTAGGATAGTAACCACACATACACCTTAAGTATGTCTCCAAGCATTGGTTCACTCTTTCTGTTTGACCATCTGTTTGAGGGTGATAAGCAGAGCTCATCTGCTGCTGCACCCCCAAGACCTTCATAAGTTCCTTCCAGAAATTGCTAGTGAAGATGGGGTCCCTATCAGATACAATGCTAGTAGGGAGCCCATGCAATTTATACACTGTCAATGAAGACTTTAGACACCATAGAAGCTGTAAGGGGGTGACTGAGAGCAACAAAATGCCTATATCAACAACTACCCATATAACCTCTTTTCCTCTAGAATTTGGCAACCCCACAATAAAATCCATAGAGATGTGTGACCAAGCTTGGTCTGGTATGGGAAGAGGTTGCAGCAGGCCAGGGTTCCTTACATTCTCATGTTTGTTGATCTGGCAGATGTGGCATTCCATAACCACCTCTTCCACTTGCAGCTTCATTTGTGGCCACCAGAAAGTATTTTGGACCCTCTGAAAAGTGGCTTGAATCCCTGAGTCCCCACTAAAGCTAGAGTTATGTATAAACTCTATGATATTTTTCCTAAAATCAAGATAACTCCCCACATAAATCCTTCCCTTGCATCTCATAATCCTTTCACAGTACTCAAAGTAGGAAACATCCATTGGCCTCATGGTGCATTCCACAATGGCTTCTTCTGCTTCTTTGTCATTCATATAGCTCTCTCCCACTTCCTTCACCCATATTGGTTGGAGAATGGTGATCTGTGATACCTCCAGTGCCTCCCCTATCCTTGAGAGTGCATCAGCAGCCTTATTTTCTGCTCCCTTTTTGTACTCTATTTTGTAATTGAACCCCATTAGCTTGGCTAGGTACTTGTGTTGCAGTGGGGTAGATAACTTTTGTTCCAGAAGGTACTTGAGACTCTTTTGATCTGTCCTAATAGTAAAGGTTCCACAAATCAGATATGACCTCCACTTCTGTACTGCTAGAAGGATGGCTAAGAACTTCTTTTCATATATGGACAATCCAGCATTCCTTGGCCCCAAGGCTTTACTAAGGTAAGCAATGGGGTGACCCTCTTGCATAAGAACAGCCCCAATCCCATGCTGGCATGCATCAGTCTCCACCACAAAGCTTTTACTGAAGTTGGGAAGCTGCAGCACTGGTGTGTTGATCATGGCTGCCTTCCGTGCTTCAAATGCCTTGTTAGCTTCATCACTCCAGCCAAACTGACCCTTCTTGAGCAGTGATGTCAAAGTCTTGGCAATGGTCCCATATCCTTTCACAAACTTTCTGTAATATCCTGTCAACCCCAAAAATCCCCTCAAAGCCTTAACTGTCTGTGGCAGTGGCCATTCATTGATGCTCTTAATCTTCTCTTGATCAACCCCCACTCCATTTTCATCAATCACATGCCCAAGGTACTCTACCTTCTTCTGATTGAAGCTGCACTTAGAGGATTTGGCATACAGTTGGTGTTGCCTCAACAGTTCTAGCACTATCCTCAAGTGGTCCAAATGCATGGCTTCATTTGCATTGTAGACCAATATATCATCAAAGAATACTAGTACAAATTCCCTCAACTGCCTCCTAAATATGTCATTCATCAAAGATTGGAAGGTTGCAGGAGCATTAGTGAGTCCAAATGGCATAACTTTGAACTCATAATGCCCTGAAGAGGTCACAAAGGCAGTTTTGAGATATCCTCAGAATTGACCCTAATCTGATGATAACCAGCCCTCAAATCAATCTTAGAGAACACCCTTGCCTGGCCCAATTCATCCAAGAGATCATCAATAATGGGAATAGGGTAGCTATCCTTGACAGTGATTGCATTTAACCTTCTATAATCCACACAGAACCTCCAACTTCCATCTTTCTTCTTGACCAGAAGAACTGGTGAAGCAAATGGGCTGGTGCTAACTTGGATTATCCCAGTTTTTAGCATCTCTTCCACCATTCTTTCCACTTCTTTCATCTGCATATAAGGGTATCTGTAAGGCCGCGCCTTAAAAGGAACAGCTCCCTCATTTAAGGTGATTGAGTGATCAATGCTTCTGCTAGGTGGCAATTCCACAGGTTCTTGGAATATGTCTTTGTATTCCAACAGTAACCCTTCCATATTAACAGTTTGGTTTTGATCCAAAGTCTGTTCCTTCTATTCTCCACTCATCATGAAGAAACATCCCAATCCTACTTGCCCCTTCTTAAACATCTTGCTCAACATTTGGCCAGTGATCATGCTGATAGAGCCTTCCTGTTTATCAGCATGGATGGTTATATCCTTAATACCATGTCTTAGTGTAACAAATTGATTCACATGGTCAAATAGCACTGGTCCAAATTTCTGCATGAAGTCCACTCCAATCACTGCATCACATCCCCCCAACTTGAGCAGCCTCATTTCAAATATGAAGTGATGCTTCCCCATAGGGGTGAGAACGGTTCGGTTCGGTTCGGTTTTAGCCACAAACCGGAACCGGAACCGAAGTGTTCGGTTCCTACGGAACCAAAAACCAAACCGATCGGTTTCTTGCGGTTCGGTTCCTTCTCGGTTTCGGTTCGGTTTCGGTTCGGTTCGGTTCCTTTTCGGTTCATAAAATTCTGGGTTCGGTTTCAATAATGGTTCGGTTTTCGGTTCGGTTTTGAGCTCATTTTGGCCCGAAAGTCAGCCCAAAAACTAGCCCAAAGGTAGGCCCAAAAATCAATTGAAATTTATCCAAGTAAAAAAAAAGAATATATATATATATATATATATATATATATATATATATATATATATATATATATATATATATATATATATATATTTCGGTTCGGTTCCTCGGTTCGGTTTACTACTTGAAAAACCGAGTACGAACCGAAATTTTCGGTTCACAAAAAATTGAAAACCGAGTATGCGGTGCATACTTCGGTTCGGTGCAATTCGGTTCGGTTTTTTCGGTTTTCGGTTCGGTTCCTCGGTTCCTCGGTTTTTTTTTCTCACCCCTACTTCCCCATTTCCCACTGAAATGCTGGGCATTTAGCATTACAATCCATTTGATTCCCATTGGCCACTGTGACTAACAAATTGTTAGTATATATCACTTCACATCCTAGTTGTCTTGTTGTCTGAGGGTCCAGGAAACTGTGAGTGCTCCATGTGTCAAGAAGCATTTTCAAGTAATTGTTCTTGACCTTGCCCTTGACCTTCAATGTGTTGGCAGTAGACTGTCCAGTTAATGCAGTGAGAGAGATGCCAAGAGTCTCTTCTTCCACCCCTTCTGGCACTTCCTCCAATTGTTCCAAGCCTTCCCATTCATCTGGCTCTTCTTCAACTCCAACAATGGTGAATACATTCTTACACTTATGCCCTGGAACAAACTTCTCATCACAATTGAAGCATAATCCCCTCATTTTTCTGTCTTCCATTTCTGGTTTAGACAGCTTCCTTATGATGTTTCCTTTATGATTGTAGTTTGATGTGTTCCAATTTCTGTTAGTACCACCCTGGTGAGTCTCATCCTTCTTAGGTTTGAGAACTTTTACCAAGCTCTTAAGTTCATCCTTCATTCCTCCCAAAAAAGCTCGAATATAGTAATCTTCCCCTAGATTCCTATGATTCTGAGCCATAAAAGCCTTGAGCTCCTCAAACTTGAGCCTGTAGTCTTCTATACTCCCCTCTTGTCTCGGTTTATGGAACTGCTCCACCACATCTATTCCATCTTCATCCATAAATCTTTCATAAACCATATTGGAGAATACATTCTATCCCACAAACTCTCTTCCTTCCACATAATCCATGTACCAATATTCAGCCTTGCCCTCCAGATTCATAGCAGCCATCATTACCCTCTCTACATCAGTCATAGGGTTTAGGACAAAGTACCTGTTGCACCTCCTTATCCAAGTTATGCGGTCCTCTCCATTGAATCTGGGAAACTCACCCCTCTGCCCCCTTGTGTTGTTGCAGATCTGCATCTCTTGCCCTCTCTGCCCCAAGTTTTCAGCTTCCATTGGATTCCTCCTATTGTTGCCCTCAGCACTTCTGTCTGGTGTGAAGCCCGGCAAGAAATGATCTTAGTGAGGTGTGTAGAGTCTGTCATTTTGGGATGACTGCCCCACCACATAAACTGGTTCATTCCCCTTGTTGTTCTTGGTCATATTGATAAGTGTTCGTTTTGCACGATTTTTGCTTATCAAATCTTCGAGTTTTGGTCTTCGTTCGTCCGAGTTTCGGCTATATTTGTATATATTATTGCGTTTCTTGTTTTATTTATATTTTTAGGTTTTGTTAGCTATTTTTGCCGATTCGAGACGATTTTGAAAGCGAAGCCGAGAATCAAGTCAAACAAGAGCAAAAATTGCAATCAAGTGGATGGTGGCAGCCTTCGGTATTTTACGCATAACTTCTTCATACGACCTCCGATTGAGCTGATTCAAGTGGATTTAGAAAGCCAACTGCAAGGGCTACAACTTTTGTGAAATGCAAAATTGTCAAATTCGGGCTACAAAAGGGTCAAAACAGAGTTTGAAGTTATTGCAGTTACCATATCGCGATATTACCTTCCATATCGCGATATGGGAGAAAACGAAACAGAGAGCTTGCATTTTTGCCATATCGCGCGATATGCCATTCCATATCGCGATATGGGGAGAAACGAAACAGAGAGCTTGCAATTTTACCATATCGCCCGATACTGCTGCCCATATCGCGATATGCCCTCGGGATGTGTAAAAAATATCTAAAAAGGCAAAGCTTCCTCAAGAAGCTTTGCCTTACTATAAATAGAAGCAAGCCTCATTCTTCTACGTCGGCTGGGACTTCAATCTTCGGTTTTCTTCGGTCTTCGACAGTTCTTCGCGGGAATCTTCAACGAGGGTTTCGACTTGGGTTTTTCTTACGATATTTCTTTACGTTTTGTTCTTCTTTTCTTGTGTACATTCTTTTGACTCTATGTTTGTTATGAACTAAGAACATTTTCTTCTAGGGCAATGAAGCCTAGTATATATTGATTTCGATCGTCATTTCTGTTATCTATTTGTCGTGTTTTGATTTCGTTTATGTTTTCCTGTATTAAATGCTTCTGATTGTGTTGATCAGCTCTCAGATTGATATTAAATAGGAATGAACTCGAGAGAGGATTTCTTGTTTGAAGTTAGGAAAACATAGCTCGGGGTGTGGAAACGGAGACGTGATGCACTTCGGGTAGCCCTTAAGGACTTGGCCTAAATGCTCTCTTAATAGCAGGTTCTGAACGGAGACGTCGGACCTGTGGGTAGACTCTAACTACACTGGAGACGGGGGTTAGAGTACTTTAGCGTCTGGGTTAGCGAATAGGAATGTGGCGTTAGATAACGGATTTGTAGATCGTTGTTGATTATATATAGGTGGATTTGGCCCTAGAAGTCCCCTTTAAATCAAAGTCCCCCCGCGTTGAGTTGTCGTACTTTATTTACGTACATTCCATATTTGCATGTTTACGATCTTGCATGCTTTTAAATTAGGGTTTATCATCAATCCACTTTTTTACGATCGGCTAGATAATATAACGATAATATAATTACACTACTCAGCATTTGAATCTACAAGGTCCCTGTGGATCGATATCCGGAACCACTGTTCTGCAAAATGCGATACCGTATACTTGCGGTAATTTATACGTGAGGAAAACGCGTATCACATATCTTCCAGTAGCTTCTTAACTTGCTCCATATTGAAGTTCATATTGGTCATTTCTTCCTTTAAGGTCCTCATCTCTGCTTGGTGTCTGGTATTTATCTCTCTTTGCTCCTCCTTGAACTGATCTGTGGTTTCTTGCAATCGATCCGTGATTTCATTCCTATTTCTACTCATTTTTTTGTGCCTGTGAAGTGATTTGTGGTGCTGTGTTTAGTGATTATGAGGTGAGTTATTCTTGAGTGATACTGAACAGGTGATGTCCAGAACCATGCTCTGATACCAAATGTCATGGACTAGCTTTTAACATAAAGATTTCGACAAAAGAAAACAAAAACAGAAAGGAAAATAATTGATTTCAAACTCCAAAAGTGAGTTGTAATTCCATACAAGAAAGGAAACTCATAAATAAAGTCTTACAAAAGATCAAATGGCAGCTGCTAAAGGATCTCTACTGCTACCTACCCTAACTACACTAGCTAGTCCAAACTTGGAGAGTATTTCCTCCACTTTCCATTTATATAGCTAGGGTTTACCATAATCGTAGGGTTTCATGACAACCATGCAACCCAGCTCACGTGCTACTCACGAGCCGCGCCTTATGAAAATAAACGTTAACCACTAACACGTTTTTATAAGTAAAACGCAACTCTCTCAAAACGACGTAGTATTGAATTTAAAAAAAGATCCACCTTCCCTCCTTAATCAGCCAATCACCACAGTGTATTTCGCCGGCGGAGGTGACCGGTGGTCGGAAGACGGCAAGAAGTGCAGCCGGCCCTTGAACTTGAGGAGTCGATTCGAGGTACTTAGGCTTTGAATTTCGGATTTGTTTCTTCTCAAAAGTTGTAGAGCAGATAACAAACTGAATTTGACCCGGCAGAAGTGTTGGGCGAAATTTCAGAAATGAAAACCTGCTGCCGCATCTGTTTTCGGAGCAGAATTTGGAGGGTTTGGAGTTCGAATTTGAAAACTATTTATTCGTAAAAATCGTAGATAACCTGGAGGAGTTTAAGTATGTGTTTATGTTTGTCCAATTTGATCAAGTTTTACGGCTTGTTTGGGGTGAGGAACAGTGGAGTCTGAAGCTGTCATTTTCTGGCAGTTTGTATAACCAATCTTTTGGGACTTTTTCAATAGGTTGGAGTAATAATTTGGGGACGGTGTTTTCTGTGAAACTGTAGATGGAGTCGTGATATTTAATTCATATATTATTTGGCCCATTTGGGTAATCGTACAAATTCTTATGATTTTTCAAATAATTTGTGCCAACAATCGAAATTCCCAAAAATCTCGCAGTTTCATGTAATCATCTTCCGGGGTTGTTATTGCTGTGTTAGGTCGATATATTGGGGTTGGTTTCTACAGTGAACTTGTAGATCTTGTTGTTAGCTTTAATTTGGTATATCGTTTGGTCTGTTTCGATATACGTGCAGTTTGTTATGGTTTTTCAAATAAGCTGTACCAGAAATAATCTTTTCAAAATCTTGGCAGTTCTGTAATGCTGGTTTGAGGCTGTTTCTGCTATCTTAGGTTCGGAATTTGGGACAAAAGCCTTCGGTGAACTCGTAGGATATTCTGTTAGCTTTCATTTGACGTATCGTGTGATTAATTTGGATTAGCGTGCTAATTGTTATGATTTTTCAAACAAACTGTGCCAACAATGAATTTTCCAAAAACTTGGCAGTTTCATGTACTCATCTTCCGGGGTTGTTATTGATGTGTTAGGTTGATGATTTGGTCTCTGGGTCCAAAGTGAACCTGTAGATATAGATTTTAGCTTTAATATGATATATCGTTTAGGTTATTCGGATAAGTAAGGTGATCGTAACGATTGTTCGAATAAGTTGTGGCGGCAAGACATTCGTAATAAATATTTCAAGAAATTGACTATGTGATATAGTGGAATAATACGGTTATATTAGTATTTGGAATCTTGTTAAGTGATGAATATTTTTATAGGTGTCGAGCGTACTAATGCTCTCATTCAAGACTTGAGCATGACTCGAGAGTAAGGTGTTTTTATAGCACTTGCATTGCACTGCAGGTGAGGATCTCTATTTCTTCACTATTATTTCTTGGAAAAACAAAATGCACACTGAGAATAAGATATCCGTTATTGCTTCTTGATCACTTAAATGTGAAATATCTTACTTTTTCCTATCGTATTATATTTTGATTCTTGAATTGTTGAAAATATTGATTTATTCAGAATCGTATCTTCTTCCTCGAACTATTCAAATATGTTCTCATCTTGATCCGAGACTTATTCCAATAATTTATCATCCAGATTCTTTGGCTACTCAATCGAGTTCATTTATTGATCCTTGATTTATTCAACGAGTTCAATCTAATTCTCTATCAATATTGAATCGTTTCACATCTTGACTTGTCTAATAGTTGAACCACCTTTATTATGATTCATTGAATCATTTGATTTGTTTCTACAGTGGTTCAATGAACTAATCGTTCTTTTCCCGACTCTTGGACCATTTAGGATTATTGTGTTTATCCATTAAATCATTCGTTTCGTACCTACTGTGAATTGATGGATCGCTCATATCTTGACTTCTCATTGATCCATTCAAACCACTTGTCTTTTGAGCTATACAACTACAGATTCAATTTTAACCGTAGACTATTGTTGATTGAGATCCATCTTCATCAATTGTTATACGATCTTGAATTGTGATCACTCTCTTATTGAAACCATTGATCGTACCCTTCTTGACTTAGGATTTTGTGACCACAAGATATTATCACTTGTTATTGGAATCCCACAATCGTTGAACTGTGATATTGGTTCTTTCCAAAGTGGAATTCATTATTGGGATTC